ACGCCGATTTGATCTTAATCTTTACGTAGAAACATGATAAACTATGCATTAGGGCCAGGGTTTTTTATAATTTAAAGTTCGAGTGATAAATTTAAAAAATCATCTGCTTAAATGGTTATTAATCACATGAAGTAATAAGCAAAACCACCTTCAGTTGCAATTTGTAGACGAGTACACAGGGAATCGACACAGACACAATAAATACAAATATGTGTAAAACATTTGTTATAAAAAGGTTTCACAATAAATAACAAGAGGCCGGTACCTTTCTCAATGATTTCAGTTATTGCTGCAGTATTAAAACATTTTAAAGCGTTGACAAGTTACAGTATAACTACTGTAACTTAACCAATCTTAAATATATCAATGATTTATTTTACTTTTGTCTCCCAGTGGCGAAAAAAATATGTTCGTGTGGTTAAACACATCCATAGATTAAAGGACCATGCATTCATTTAATTTGATCTTGTATTGAGTATCGATTAATTCCTATTAAACCCACAACAACAAACAACAAAATAATAATAAAAAAATATTAACAATCGCAGGCTTTAAATAAATCAAATGTACACGAACGGAAAATGAGAAGAAAATTTTAAAAATAATATTGCAAATGAATGCTTCATTGCAGTTAAACGTATGTCATGTTGTATTAAGTATACAAAAATATTCCTTTTACATTAGTTTAGAGTAACCACATTAAAACAGACCTACAAAAAATATACACTGTTAACATTAAACAATTTCAAGAAATAACAGTAACGTTTCAGCTTACCGAATTAAATAACGAACATGAGGCACACAGGGAAATCCAACAATGAAAAGAACACAATTTAACGAAAACAGCTGATCTAAACGTCACACAGCTGATCAGCTGACGCGTGGCGGTGAGGTCTTCTACGTTCACGATTCTGCGACCAACTGAGGTCTGAGGAGAACAGGAGAGTGACGTAGTTGTTGGGGCTACTACGTTCATTCATTCCCCCTCCTAACCACGAGACATGAATGGGGCACGCATAGTGGCACGTATGGTTTGAACCGTTGCCAAACACATGTGAGGTTTGGTTATTGTGGTAAAATATAATAGTTGGAGTCAGGAGAGTTGTATATGCTATTACTTATTTACATATAATTATATATTTTAAAAGGAGTAGAAATTTAAGTTCAGTACATAAATAGAAAAAGGAGTGTGTACATGGATGAGGTTCTATTTCATAAGTAAATGAATATCGGAAGTTATACTTCGTTAGAGTTTGTGAATGGGGAAGTTCTAATGCATTACGATATGGAGGAGGTTCTATTTCGATGGTTACAAGGGAGAGAAGTTTTCTTTTGATTGAGTAAATTGAATATACGAGAATACTTTAGTACATAAATAGGTGGGATTCTATTTACTTTTAGTACAAGACCACAGAAAAAAAGTATCCAAATAGCATAACTAAGAGATACCGTTGTATTTCTTTAGAGTACACGAAATGAGAAGTTCTTTTTTGTTGGATCATATAAATAATAAAAGTTATATTTCTTTAGAATATAAGAATGGAAAAATATACATTATTAGTTTCGAGTACACGAATGAAGCTGGTTTGATTTGGTTGAATTATAATTGGGGGTGTTTAAAATCAAATGAGTTCAGGGACATCTTTGTCATTTCACTAGACTAGAGTATTTATGAATGAGGAAAGATCTGCATTGTCACAGTACAAACCAGTGTGTGTGGGGCTTTTTCGTTTGAGTATGAATGGGGAAAGTTGTATTTGTAATTATTCGGTCAAATACAAGGGCCCCTTTCACTGGAAACAAAAGTAACTAACTACTACTGTATATACCTTACAACCTCTGTCTATAAAATAATCTGGCTATTTTTAATATGGAAATTCGGAAATACACTTTGGTCTATATGGCTTTCTCCATCATATGAAACATAGTGGTAGCCTAAATCTTCACAAGTCCTGAGAAATTATGTTTAACAGACTTAAAACCCACTTAAGATCGATAACTTACAACCACCACATCAGCCAAAGCACCAAATATCAACATCCACAAGTTCATAGGCGGCTTTCTTTGACACGTCCGCTAAAAACAGTGAAACAGTCGCAGAACGAATCCCATATAACTCAATCTGCGGCAGAAGTTCGGGACCGAGGGCGCCGGGTCGTGACAAATTGCGGGAAGTGATTTTCCCCGCTGTTAACAACAAAAATCGCAGGAACACTTGCGCGACGACCCGGAGACATGGCGTGGAACGTGACAGTAGTGGTGGAGGAACAAGGTTCAACAAATGGCAAAACTTACTGCATGTGCCAATGGATATGATTAATCAATTCGAACAACAGTTGATTGCATGATAGACAAGTGAGACCAAATATAAACCCATCCTTCAGGGTATCTTCGAGGGAATCCTTATAATCACAAGACGCTGCCAATTTCTTTACCTGGACTGAAATTTGACACTATAGTCTCACTACTCTGACACTGCCACCTATCAACTACATATATATTGCATAGTTTGTCTCCATGTGGATCTTCATTAGGTATTTGAGTCCTTGTCTTTGAACATACAATATTCTAAATCTCCACCTAAACTCAACTTCAAAAGACATTTTGAGCACTTTGAGAATCTTCCACCCCCTATCAAGGTAACTAAGAGTGTGTCTTTGGCCTTCAAAATATTTGATCTTCACCAACACTACCTCCAGAAACCTTGAGCTTCATGTGAACTTTCCACCGGGTACCAAACAAACCACGCCCATAATACAAGTTCAACTCTGAGCATGAGCTGATTACTTAGTTCCCAACCGGAGACTCCCTTTCAAAGTCTAAAAGCCGTTTACCCACGCTAGGGGCGGGAAGTCGCTTGATACGAAAATAATAGGCCTGTTTCGTAGACCCAGGTTCAAACCCTCCTTCCGGCCGACGACAATAAAACAATTTGTTGGGGGTAGTCAAAGCGCTTCCGACCCTGATTTCACACCCCACGGCGTCGGCCATTTGACGGCCAAACAGTGCAACAAAGACCTCACATTTGACACGGGCTTGTGAAATTTCAATCACGTGGTAGAAAGTTTGTCTAGTTAATCAGGAGCGTGTCTTTCGTTACTCAAAAAACGGTGTCCTGGCCAAAGTGATTATATTTTGGTTGAACCAGCTTGGGACTCGCTCTTGCTTGTGGAAGGAGGGGGATAATAAGTTCTTCCACCAAGAACTGATTATGCATTGAAAGAATAGACAGACAATTTCCCACATTTTATATTCCCACACGTCTTATTATTACAATAGCATTTGTGATCTATTCTCACTGAAGCAAAACATGTATTATTTCTTTAATTATTATTATTGGTATTGAAATTTAAAACTTAAAAATACTTTTTTAAATCAGCAGAATTTAATTTAATTAGCCATAATTAATTTAATGTATCGTATGTAATAAATGAAAATTTACGGTTTCAATTTTTCAGAACTATGAGCAGATTACTGTTTCGAAAACCCTTTTTGGAACACTGGGGCATTTAAAACAAAACCGGTGGAAAAAATCTAAAAACAAAATTATGTGACAATTTAGTGGATTGAGAAAAATGGATCTAGAAGTCGTGCTTTATTTTAGCCCATCACTCAATACTTTCGTAGCAGCAAATCCTTGCCAATAAAAATACATTTATGTCCGTACACAATCGACGGTTCTATGAACTAACTGGAAGGAGAATGAGCAATATCATAGTGCAACACAGACAAATAAACGCATCGGAAAGTTTACTATGTGAGACAAACACTGTTGGACCTTTTTATTTAAAATCCTCTTCAAGATTACCAGTGTATATAAAATGGTAGTATTTTTTCAACAACTTTAATCAAGGAGTGGGGGAGGATGAAGTGGTCGAAGCTGGAGCGGAGGTCGAGGCGGTGTTGCGTTGGGTCCCGGATGGAAGGCAAATGTCACAAGTCGACCTTGAGCTCAGGCTCATCTTCCCAGCACACTCCAGGATATACCGGCTTGAAATTCATTGCGATCGAGTATTACTATCGAAAACTATCAATGAGCCTGCAAGGCATACAAAACGTACACAATCGTGCTCACCTGAGGGTAAACCAAACAGAATCATAACCTTGGAGAGAATTCCCTGATTGTGAAGACTCCATATTTCAGTACAATGAAGTATACGCCGACTTGAAATTCATTACGATCTATTTCCTCTTCAAGAACCAACAGTGAACACTTCAGGCATTCAAAACAACTCCTTAGGGGGACTGAAAACACATTTCATTGTGTTGATTAGTCCCTGATCGAGAGGACTTCATCCCCATGGCTTTTTGCGGCTGTGGTATTCTGCATTTTCTTCATCTCTCTTTTTAAATCCAGGGCGAGCGCTAAAGTTCACGCCTTGCTAAAGTAAAAGCTTGCTTCCAACTCATAGTAGTGACAATCGTCCTCCTTATTGCAAGCCAAAGTCCACTAGAAAGACTTTCGCGTGAGCTAAATAATTGGATCAAAAAATTAGAGTCTGGGTTACTATTCTATCAACCTTGGGTTCGCCTTGCGATTGTTAAACTTCAACATTGACTAAATAACCAGAAAACTTATTCTCTTATTCGTTCATAATTAATTGGGAAGGTCAACCCACCCCAAACTCATTATCTGAAGACAACCAGTAAATCTACTCCATTCACCCCAGGAACTAATGATTGCACAACGATCATTCCTAGCATCCCTTGTTCTACCTCACCTCAGTCACCTTCATCCTCTGCGGGATATTTCCTCCCCAGACAGCATCCGCGAGGAGCGAGAACAAAGAAGTAAATTGGTTATTTCTGTCGCGGTCAGCAGGGGTGGGACCACATCCGCCGTTTTTGCCCCAGGTGGGGTGTATTTAGTTTTTTGGGGGTGCGAAGCCACGGTAATTTATCAGTTTGGACGAGTTCATTTAGTCATTAGTGAACCGGGAGCCCCAGGGGCGGAAACGAGTGTGGATGCAGGTAAAACTCTGGTTGATGAGGTACTGTACCTGCGCAGTTCGAGAGGGTGGTGGAATGGTTGCATGGAATGAATATGAGATTTTTTATTACTGTAATGAAAGTCCATACCAGAGCTGAAAGTCCTAGAGGTAAACAAGAGTTGTTCGTCATCAAAATATTGGAAGCAATACATATTTAAAAACACAGACATTGTCTCAAAGAGCTTGAGGCGTTAGATTTAGACAGATTCTTTCTACAATTTTAGCTCTAGATTTGTTGACATTTCAGACAAAAGGAGCACATCCAAACCGAAGACAGTACGTCCCTAGTTGACAGGCTAACACCAACTTTTATTAGAATCCAATTGTATGATTATGGATATATTTATTTTTATTATCCTAATCCAAATCATCTACGGTCTCAGAACTTGTCAACTTGTTTTACAGTTTCTGAGGAAATTTAATAGTGTAGTTAAAACTGACCAACAGTGATATTTTTAATAAATATGCTTATTAAATAAAGTTGGTGCCCTAGCACCCGCGATGTAGCGAAAAACCTCACAAAATGGAACCAGTGGCGTACTTACAAGTTATTTTATAATTAATTGGTAAACTACATACGATCTGAAAATCATGGTATGACAACTAGTTTCACATACGAATCATCCTCAGGCCAGTCTTCTTGCTTCATTTGAAGGGTATCAACATAAATAACAAATGGGATACTCACACACGTACGGACATGAATACATAACCATTTAGGTGAAACAAATGGAGAGAGAATACTGTATGGTGTGGGACTCGACAATAAGACATGGTTGGGTGAACCCTACGTGTTCCGAGTCAAATCAACTTGGCCAAACCAAACTTCAACAACTGTTAGTCACATCAACTATCAACTATCACAGTATCAACACTGATGAAATACCCCCGCCGCAGCAAACCTGCAGACTAAGCGAATTTCCATTAACCTGATTAGATTTACACTAAAATGCCTTTATAAAAATAGCACATTTCTTTCCTATTTAAATAGAATTAGTTTAACGAGTACTTAGGTTTGCTGCAACAGGGAGGGTAAAAAAGATTTTTTTTATAAATAGTTTAGTAAGAAATAAAAGTATTTTCCAAAATCAATCAAAATATGTTCATAAACAAGCAAACTAAAACAGCTGACTTATTCTCCATAAAAATAACATGGGAATTTTAAAATTACAATTTTTTTGAATTTTCTCCGTAACAATTAGGCGCATAATAACGCTTCAATATACTAAATTATTTGTTTTTTTAAGCTCTACAAAATGGTTTGAAAATAAATTGTGAAATTTTGTGTTTTTAGGGCCAAAAATGGGAAAAACCTATTTTTACCCCATAAAACCCCCCATAAACCCCCGTTCCCATAGTCCGATCATGCTGGTTTGCGAACTCGTTCAAGTTTATCCTGCCTTACACCTTCAAACCAAATTTTATCAAAATCGGACAAAAATTACTCAAGTTATCGTGTGGATGGACACATATATATATATATATATATATATCTCTATATATAGATATATAAAAATTTGAACGAATGGTGTTTTTGGCCTCTGGGGACATCAAAATGAAAAAGTAAATCGGTCCCGGGCTTAGGTCTTACCATGAGACCTACGGTAATAGCTACTTCCCTATAGGGAAATTCGCTAAAATGAAGAAAAAATAGTAGCACAACCTGTGAACGAGAGGCTCTAACTACTGGTAAGTTATATTTTTAATAAGAATTGGCTAGAGATCGTAATTATGGATCCATATAGATGTCTACTTCGGTATCCCAATACGTTTCAAACTGCAGAAGTCAATGTGTATAATTCAACACAGATAATTGGGGTGACAGGTAAAACTAACAGATGAAGCCGAACAGGTGGCTTCCCCATTGTGGCCGTTTCCGGACCGGAAACACGAATGTCACCACCACGGACACTAGGGTTGTAAAGTGACACAGGGGCTGTGAAATTCCTCACTTGGGCGTATTGGCGTGTAAACATCACACACCGTAAATCCGATCACTCGACTGATTAGCACGCGCTTCAACTCAGCTGTTGTATGGACGAATTAAATGGTTGTCGATGTTTTGGAGAGTAAGCGACCACAGTGTGTGTAGTAAATGAAGAAACAATAGTTTAAATCAATGAGAATTAAGGGCTACTTCGGTTGTAGATACAGGCTATCGCAGTTAAAGTTGGTTTTTAAATGTCTGTATGTAAGTAATAACTGAGGGTACTTCACCCACTGCTAGTACCGGTAAGGGCGGAACGTGTGGTAGAAAAGAGTAGCCGAAGAAGCCCCACGTAATGTCAACATGTGTTGTAGACCTTTTGGACTAAAAACCTATTAGTTCTTAAGTTGGCGCTGGTATTACTGAAATATCAGTAATAGCTTTGACTATTAATACAACAACTTCTGTATCCAATAGTCAATGGTAATAGCTAGTAATAACTAGCTACTCTTTATTCTGTGGTAGTGAATTTTACGTGACGTTTCGAGAAGCAGTTGTTCAAAGATTTGGATAGTTCTTCTTCTAAATCTAAACGATGCAAAATGTCTTCAGGCAGGCACACCAAGTCAATAACAATAACATTCAACACGATTTCCAACAGCTTAGTCAACGACTACTGAATTCTAATCTCGTTCTGAGGTCATAGCTGGTATAACTAGATGTGGCACTTGAATGATACCACGGACTATTGTGACGTACTTGGTGGACTACTGAGTGAGAGCTGGTAGTGGAAGAGTGCGAGGCTATTCTCCCCGAGGTCCCAGAATCAACCCCCACCAATCAACAGTGTTTACCCGGGTTATAATGTCGCTCCCATCTACACCTAGCATAAAGTAAAATATGAAACCGGAAAAAATAAAACAAATATGTTCCTTCTGGTCTCTAGTAGGATGAAAAGCAGGGACAAAAATCAGGCCGCTTACCGACATAGTATAGTCCAATCCAGTCCTGTATGTCCGGCGAGTGATCCAGAGGTAACTCCCAGGACAGATGTACCCACACTCTGCCTCTGCACAGCGACCCTCGTAGCTCAGCTGTGAGCCGCCCCCAGCCCCCAGCAGCCGCCCCCGCCGCCGCCCCCGTCCAGTCCACACCCTCGTGGTCACACACATCGCCGTTACAATCCACCTTGGTCTCCACCCCTCAGCGCTGCATCTCTGTAACAGACAATAGAGTGTGGACATGAGAGAGGATAAGGAATGTTCCTTGACCAGAATATTCTTTGGTGACGAAGAATAGTTCCTTGGCAAAAATGTCCTTTAGCAACGAAGAATGTTCCTTGGCAAGGATATTCTTTGGTACTGAAGAGTGTTCCTTGACATAACCGTGGATTGAAAGTTAAGATTGTGCCTTGGGTAGAACGTTCTTCATCAATGAAAAATGTGCCTTAGGAAGATTGTTTCTTTGGCAACAAAGAATCTTCCTTAAACAGAACGATCTTTAGCAACGAAAAACGTTCCCATAACTATATCGTTCTTCGGCATTGAAAAAATTCCTTTGCAAAATACGTTATTTGACAATAAAGAAAATTCTTTAGTAAGAGTTCTTTAGAAATAAAGAATGTTTCTTTGGGGAAATGTTCTATAGTCACCAAGAGCGCAGTTAGTACGGTATACTATATGAATAAGACGAGTAGCAAACATATTTTTTATCGATGAGGGACATTACTGGCGAGTGTGGATGTTACTTATCGGGCTGAAGTCGGCAAATATCCTACAGCTCTTTTGGTTGTTTCTCTTTCACTCACTAGTACATCTCATGAAGAAGGGATATTAAGCAGCGAGGCGATAAATAAAAATGGGAGAGCTCAGTAGCCTATGATGTACATTTCCTCGTCAACATCGGCCTCTTCATGCTGTGACATTGGAACCACTGCGAAGTATAGGTGCGATAGTCGACATAGAAGAGCGAAAGTGTACAAATTAAATCTACAAAATATGATTTAGAAAGTATACACACGCATAGACTAGTTTTATCTATGGTTGTAGTTAGGGCTGTAATGTGTCGCCTTTTAAAGCCAAATGTTAGGTAAGCCAAGATCCATGATTCAGGTATGTTTGAGATGTACGTAGAAATGGACATTGAGCTTAAAAATGTATTGCAATTTAAGAACAACTAAGGCCCAATGCAGATTGTCCTTCTATCTTCCTTTCTTTTCGACTAACGGATCAATACATTTGGTCGCAATCAACCCGTTTTTATCTACACCTGCACAACTAATTTAAATCATGATAAAGTCATAACTTCTGTCCCCTTGTTGCTTCACTAGCACTAGGGATGGATCGAATCCAAACATTGAACACCGCACCTTATGCAAATCCCATCTTGATCGGTTTGACAGCCCTGAGTGATAGGGATGACTCTTACATTCTCCAGGATGACGAGAAGAATTGTTGATGTTGTTGACGAAGGGTCGAGGGACGTGGGACCGGAAAAGACACAACTAGAGTTTCCGGCAACACAGTTGTTGTTAACGAGCTAATTGTTTGGCTTTGGACCCTCACTGCTGGAGCCGGACTACGCCACTTTTTACCGCCACTATCGCCACTACGCCACTGCCACTACTGACGCACCATACGGCCATACATTGAATGCCAAAGATGGATTAGGGTAGAACATGTTTTGGCCATCGTTTCTTCATCTATCGACGAAGAAAATGTCCTAGCTGATTCATTAGTCGTTACTTAGGCTACGAGTCTTGAACTCTAGCAACAACTTCCTTCGCGAATTTAGGCTACACAGATTTCTCTCAAATAAATTTATTTTTATTTTTAAGCATATCCTTCAGGGGACTGTGCTTGCATGGTTACTTTTCACTCAGTTTAAGTTTTAAACGTTATTATGTCAGTTAACTAGGTACGTTTTTAATCGTCATTGAAATTATTGTATTCTTCGAGCTTTTTAATAATAACAACCTTTATTACTTTTCACAATTGTTTACATTGATTCAACTCCAACGGTGTTCACGTTTCTTTTTGTTTTTCGTTTTTCCAGACAGTACAGTAGGGAGTATGTTTTATCTATGGTACAGTATACAATTTGCCAGTGCCACGTTGATAATTCTGCACACTATTATACCATTGCACCTCAGAATGCGCCAATGCCGCATTGATAATAGACACACCACACATTTGCCACTGCCACATTGATAGTACACAGTACACCACACATTTGCCATTGCCACATTGATAGTACAGTCACACCTGCAGTGGGACGCCCGTGGCCTACCAAAACGAACTACGTAGATAACAGATATCAGTTACCACACCTGACGGAGGTGCAGTCTTACTTGGTGTCTGTA